AGTCTTAGAGCAGGTTTGGGTTCGCAGCAAAACTGAGGGGAAGGTGCAGAGGTTCACCACGTGCTCGCGCACGCCCTCTCCACTGTCACCATCTCCTGCCACAGTGGTTCACTTGGTACAACCGACGAACCTACACTGACACATCACAGCCACATCACAGCCGCCCAAAGTCCACAGTTTACACTAGGGCTCACCCTTGGTGTATATTCTGTGTGTTTGGACGAACATGTAATGACATGGCTCTCTCCCTGTGGTACCACACAGAGTACTTTCACTGCTCTCCAAATTCTCTGTGCTCTGCCTAGTCACCCCATCTCCACCCCCACACCTCTTCCCAACCTCTGGTAACCACTGATCTTTTTACTGATTCCAGAGTTTTTACTTTTCCTGTATTTATACATTCACCTACTGAAGGACATCTTGGTTGCTTCTAAGTTTGAGCAATTATTAAGTGAAGCTGCTACAAACACCCACGAACAGGTTTTTGTGTGGACATAAGTTTTTGATTCCTTTGTGTGAATTACTGAGGAGCATGACTGCTGGACAGCGTGGTAAGAATTTGTTTAGTTTTGCAAGAAGCTGCCAATTGCCTTCCAAAGTAACTGCATCATTTGACATTGCCACGCACAGTGAGAGAGAGGCCCTGTTGCTCCGAGTCCTCGCCAGCAGCTGGCGGGCGAGTGTTCTGGGTCTGGGCCGTTCTGACGGGAGTGCAGTGGCAGCCCGTCGGTGCTGTTCTGGGCACTTCCCTAATGCTGCGGGGCCTGAAGCGTCTTTACGTTTGCTTACTTGTATCTGTGCACCTGCTTTGACGAGGTGTCTGTTAAGGTCTTTGGCCCGTTTTTAATTGGGTTGTTTTCTTATTGTTGAATTTCAAGAATTCTTTGTATATTTTGGGTAACAGTCCTTTATCAGATTGTGTCTTTTTCAAATATTTTCTCCCAGCCTATGGCTTGTCTTCTCACTCTTTGGGTGTTGTCTCTCGCAGAGCACAACTCTTTGACTTTACTGAGGCCAGTCTCCTCCATCGCTGCTGTATCGGATCCTACAGTCCTAGGGGGAGGGGCCAGAAAGCTGTTTTCTGTGGAAATACCAAAAGGAAACCTGTTCTTCTAACATTTCTCTGATGTCTATTTGAAAATATTAACACTTCCTCTGTGAAAATGAACATCACAGCTAAATTGCCACAATGATACTTTGTTTATGTATCATAAAATGCTTCCCTTGGAAACATTCTAAATAATAATGGAGTGTTGCTAACATGTTAATACTAACCTTAAAAGCCATTATCCACCAGGGACGTAGGGCCGGACACGGGACAGAGCCGGACCCCCACACACAGACCAGTAAAGCAACAACAAAGCCCCGGCTTTTACCTCCGCTTTGGTACGATTTTACCCGCCGGGAGGGGGCGATGGGGGCGTCGGAGGGTTGGACCGGGGCCGGCAGGTCCCCACGGCAAGCGGCAGTGGAGGGCGCCTCCACTTCCCTGCTCTGACCCCACCTCCACATACAGCGTCATACCCCAGCGACTCTGAGTGGCCCGGCCCAGGTGAACCACCTAAGGCACTGCTCCTCCGCACCCAGCCGTGAGAAGCGGCAGAGGGGGTCGCCATTTCCCCGCTCTGACCACGCCCCCACATACAGCGTCACAACCCAGCGACCTGGGAATCCAAGGCGCCACTTCTCACACTTAAAGGGCCCGAACAGACCAAGAATGGTGCAGGAGGATCTCAGAGCCCCAGAGCCAATAGATCTAAGCGATGAAGAAATAGCAAAACTCACAGACACACAGTTTAAAACATTGGTGATCAGGATCCTCACAGAACTGTTATACCGACAAATTAGACAAATATATGAAGGCGAAACTAATTGAAATGAATGGAATTGCACAGGACACCAATAGCAATGAAAAGGAAACTGGGACTCAAATCAATGGAGTGGACCAGAAGAAAGCAAATAATGGCCAAACAGAAAAGAGTCAAGAAGCAAGAATTCAAAGAAATGAGGAGAGTCTTAGGAACCTCCAGGACATCTTTAAACGCTCCAACATCTGAATTATAGGGGTACCAGAAGGGGGAAAGGCACAGCCACCAGTGGAAAACTTATTTGAACAAATAATAAAGGAGAATTTCCCCAATCTGGCAAAGGAAATAGACTTCCAGGAAATCCAGGAAGCTCAGAGAGTACCAAAGAAGTTGGACCCAAGAAGGAACACACCAAGGCACATCATAATTACATTAGCCAAAATTAAAATGAAGGAGAGAATCCTAGAAGCAGCAAGAGCTAAGGGGACAGTCACCTATAAAGGAGTCCCCATCAGACTGTCAGCGGATTTCTCAAAAGAGACCTTACAGGCAAGAAGGGGCTGGAAAGAGGTATTCCAACTCATGAAATCTAAAGACCTACATCCAAGATTGCTCTATCCAGCAAAACTTTCATTTAAAATGGAAGGACAGATAAAGTGCTTCTCAGATAAGATCAAATTCAAGGAGTTCATCATCACCAAGCCCTTATTATATGAAATGTTAAAGGGACTTATCTAAGAAAAAGAAGTTAAAGAAACATGAACAGTGAAAGGACAACAAACTCACAGTTATTAACAACCACACCTAAAATGAAAGCAAACTAAAAGGACAGCTAGATCAGGAGTGGAAACATAGGAATGAAGATCTCAAGGAGGGTTAGCAACAGGGGAGTGGGAGGAGGAGAAGGGGGGAGAAGGTACAGAAAATAAGTAGCATAGACAGTAGATAGAAAATAGATGGGGGGGCAAGAATAGCATGGGAAATATAGAATCTAAAGGACTTGAGACACATGGTCATAAACTAAAGGGGGGGTAATGGTTGGGATGAGGGGTAGGGTGGAGGGGAATAAAGGGGGAATAGAACAACTGTAACAGCATAATCAATTAAAAAATTAAAAAAAAAAGCCAGGAAATTTGCATTTTTCCCCATCAAAAACAATTCTCTTTCCCAATATGCATTAAAGAAAATTTAATACTCAAACAATTGGGAATGTTTAACATATTTACTTCATTTGTTGTAGATTATCGATTTGAAGAGGGATATTCTTTTGAGACTGGCATTTTAAACCTGTATAGGAAGAGTTCTTCTTGCAAAACAGAAGAAATTACCTCTGCAATTAAGTCACGATCTCCCTACGGAGTAAGTAAAATAATTCAACTCTGCACCTGTAATGAAGATAACATGTGTATGTGTATGCTTTGCCTTAGATATCAACTATGTGCATGAACACATATGTCTTCCAGACAAACCACAGACATGGAAGTCAGGGCCCCTTGCTTCCGCCCTGTATAAAACTAAACGCCAGTCAAAGCGTCTTCCATGCTGCCTCTCATTAAATAACAACAACATGACAGTTAAAATCAGTGGTAGAAATCTGACAAGAGGATGACAAAGAGCTCTCCTGACCAAAAAGGAATCCCAGGACTACCACGGGCACAGAGGGGTTTGCAGGCAGTAAACTTGGCTTCTTTACACACACCAAATTCCTCACTTCTAGATATAAAAGCCCTTTTCCAAGAACAACTTCAAAGTCAGAAAGCAGATGAAGGTGGATCAACCAAAGTCAAAATTTGCTAAATACAAAAACTCTCCATTGGAACTGCTGTAATCTGTTTTCTGATCCCCTCACTTCATATAAATCACTTCTCATCAGGGCCTCCGCCACTTCCTACTGCCGATGCCAGTGACTCATATTTAAGCTTCAACTTCTTGAATCTCTTCTCTACTCAGACATGGTCAAAGGTAGCTTTTGTGAAAGGGTAAACAGAGTAGGCAAAAAACACACACACCATATATTTCAAGATGTCTGTACAGTTCTATTTTCTATGGTTTTTTAAAGGAATTCATCACTTATTTATTTGTTTGTTTATTTATTGAGAGCAGGTAAGAGAAGAAGAAAGGGAGACAAACACCAGGGTGTGGTTGCCTCTCACAACCTCGCCCCCCCAATGGAGACCTGACCTGCAACCCAGGCATGTGCCCCAGACTGGGACCTGAACTGGCAACTCTGGTTTGCAGGCTGGTGCTCAATCCACTGAGCCACACCAGTCAGGACTATTTTCTATGATTTTATCATGATTTGTTTGGCTCCTCTTACAGTGATTCACCCTTTTTTTTAAAGCTAATTATCACTTTTTGGTAATTTATAATTTGAATTGAAGTATCAGTATGCACTCCTGAAGCATTTTACTTAAAGGGAAAATTTCCTAACGTTATCCTCTGAAAAGGCCTAGAATAATGACCAGCCAAGTTGGAGTCACCACCTTGGTGATCACACTGTGTCTTGAAATCTGTTTGCATTCAAAGGAACTGCAGCTCCTTGAACAAATGGCTGATTCCAGGTCTGGAAACAAAGGAGTACAATGAGCAAGGGACATCTTATCTACCAAAGATAAGGAAGAGCATGTTATTAATAAATAGAAAGGCGAAGAGGTGATTGACTGATACATACATGCAAGCATACATATATAATATGATACGTACAATTCAGAAGCCAGTTACAAGGGGCTCCCCTAGCCCAAAATCAAACAGAATAATGATTATAAATGAACCAAAACAGAGCAAATGTGTTTAAATCCAAAAGTTCATGATTATCTTTTAAAAAATAATAATAATTGGCCACCTTTGGAAGAGGCTAGCTAACCATGTCATTTTGTAACTGGTAAATGAAGGGAAAGCTTTGGCACTTATCCCACTTTTCTGTGACAAGCTACACCTTAGCGTGATTGAGCCCTTGATACAGAAAAGTTTCTCTTTATGAAAGCATTCCAGCTAGTAAACAAAGGAGGTTAGAATGAGAAGACTCCATCCTGTGTCTCCTAATGAATGAATGCGATTCAACAATGATCATCGGAGGCAGCTGTGGTTCCCAGAAGCCAGTCACACCCTTCCAAAGTTTCATGTGAAAAAATGCATCACCCGGTATTTACTCAACACTAAAGGCAAAGGGAATGAAGTCAAAGCTAATTTTACCTTTTGGACTCTCTTCTTCCCAATCAGTTAAAGAAACTATGAGCAATTCAGCAACATAAGTGCGCAAACTTTCTTCAGGAGAGAAACTGCCACCTGTCCAAGGGGCCAGAGGCACCTGTCAATCAGCTCATCCTTGAGTTCACTGCTCTGCTTTTGAGCCTTTCCGATTTTCCGATACAAATTCGAAGGTCTTCCCAGTAAGTCTGCCTTTCTTGGGAGGGTGGCGGTGGGAGGTCTGTGCTGTCCTTCTCTAACCTAGAGATAATTGAGTTAAAAGTATTCAGAGAAAATTCCCTACAGAAAAAAAACACATTTGGATCTAATTCTACTGTTGAGTCCTCACTGACTTCTTTTAAAAGAAATGAAATGAAATTACATGCAAGCTCTGGGTATAGTAATTTAACCACTATTTTGAAAATTTCTCTTCTACTTAATTAGCAAAACTGAACCATTAAGTAATCTCATTAAAAAAGGGCAAGACCGGTAAATGGCTTTCTGAACCTTGAAATTATCAATACTTGACCTTAAAAAATCAGCACAACCTCAAATGGAGTTTGATCAAGAAGCCTCCAAAAACACAGAGGCAGCTACACTGGGGGAAACCAGTAGAGGACCTGAGAGGTGAGCACGCACCCATCGTCACCAAATGACTCGGCCAGCTGCGGGCAGAGGATTTCACGGTGCTGTACCTCTTCCAACCCCCAACCCTCCACACAGAACCAGCTGTCACCTTTGAAGAGAATGGTGGATCCTTCTTATGTAAAAAAACCCTGCTCATCTCCATGTGCGCTCAAGCAATAATGAGATGAGTCCTGTGCCTGGATTTGCTCAGGGCATCATTAGGGGATCCTCCTTCTCTAACTATGAAATGCTGACAGAGGTCCGATTTCAACAAATGGCACCGCAGTTACGGTCAAAAACCTAGAGCTCTACTGCCCTGATGCTGAACCAAAGAAGCCAGACTGTGAGATTCCGCTGCTGTGAAGAGTACAACAAGCCAACTGATCTCAGGCAACAAAAGCAGAAGTTACCCAGGCAGGGTGAATGAGGGGGGTTTTCTGGGAGACGGAGTGATCACGATGGGGTGTAAGTTACATAGGTATATCTACTTGTCAAAACTTCATAGCTCAGACTAGTGCTTTTCAGAGTATGTAAACTCTAAATAAAACCAACAAGACCAACGTCATCATCATGTGTGGGTAAAGCTGATGAAGGCAGAGATGAGATAAGAGGGCAGAATACTGGTAATTGTTGAGGTTGGGTGATGGGCCTGTGGGGACAGGGAGTCACCATTCTATTCTGTTTACTTCCTACATGCTTGTAGTTTTCCACGCTAAAGGTCTTTGAAAAGACTAGAACTTTAATCCCCTCCTCTATACTACTGAACAGCTAACAGGTCTCTGGGCAAATCTCAACCATTCTGAACTTCGCTTTAGCCATCTACTAACAGGAAGTAATGATCCCTGCATCCCTCACTCAGAACAACCCTAGGTTGCTGGTAAGTACCAAGTGGAGGAAACGGATACAAATGTAAATTCTGAGCTGTGAGGTAATCTATAAATATAGCAAGTTAATAATAATGAAGATTTATAATTACTAGTGGACCGCATTCCACCTAGGAATGTTTGAAGACATCATTAATACAGTTCTTGCAACAAAAACCTGAGATGCGTCTGTTCATTTTTCAATAATTCTTGCCTGAAAAAATAGTAGTAGAACTAATAGGTCAAAGGTATGGATAACAGAAATGTTATTTATATTTGTTATAAAGTATACTCTATGATTTATTTTGCATGACTTGCTAATAATGCAAAAACTTCAGCCTCGGGAGGAAGTCTGATGCCCGCGTGCACACCCACAGGGTGGCTGGGAAAGGGCGCCTGACCAGCACACTCCAGGAGGAAGCTGGTTTAGGATTTTAAGTGATGCAGATAATGCATGCGTCCAAAATTAAGAATCAACAACTATAAAATCCGCTGAGGTCTGACCATCCAAAATAATGTTCATGAGTCCGTATATAATCACAACATTAGGGAGAAAAATATAAAATTCTTTATGTAAATTGATTATACTTAGAAATCAGAAAGCTAGATTTCTAAATATTTGACTCTCTAATGTTATGGCACATGTATACTCAACTCAAGGAAGCCCTTTATTTGATTTTTTTAAACTTGTCTGTTAGAACAGCCCTAATTAGTTACAACTACGTATCACAAACCACAACTCATCCTGAGAGAGAGAGAGAGAGAGAGAAAGACGAGGGAGGGAGGGAAGGTGGGAAGATGGAAAGAGAAAAAGAGGAAGAGAGAGGCAGGTGTAATCCCACTCTAATGTCCCAGTCTAATCACCCCAAACCGGGGTGTACTCTGTAAAGACAAATGAGCTGGCCCGGCCTGTTTTTGCTGGTCCAAGTTCCAAAGTAAATGAGCATGCCAGAGTGATGCTTTAAATAAGCACATTCTAGTTCAAAAATATACTTGTAAGAATATATTTTGGTACAGAGAACAAACTCATGGTTGCCAGAGGGGAGGGCGGTTTGGGGGCTGAGTGGAAAATATGAAAGGATTAAAAAGTACAAGTTGGTAGTTACAAAATAGTTACAGGGGTGTAAAGTACACCACAGACAGAGAATATAGCCAACAATATTGTGTAACTACGCACGTGCCAGGTGGGTACCTGAATGATCACGGGAATTACTTTATAAGACTGTCTAACCACTGTGCTGTATACCTGAAACTAACGTGAAATAATATTGAATGTCAACTGTAATTGAAAAACAAAATTAAAAAAATAAATTAACATTAAAGGGGGGACAGAAAAAAAAAGGAAATCACTTGGCTAAATTCTTTTGCATTAATCTTACTTATCTTCAAGAACAGGTGTATGCACCAAGAGCCTGCTTGCAGCATTCCAAGGTCTTCTAACACCTGGTTCAGGAGCACGCGTTCCTCTCATTCGGCTCTCTGCCCTGGCCTGTCAGCTCTGCAGGGAGTGACCTGCTACGCTCTGGCTCAGGCGGCTTCAAACTCCTCTCCGTTTTTTTTTCCGCATGACTTCCTGAAACCACCAGCCAACCTGCCAACTGCTGGGATTCAGGACGGCCTGAGGAAGACCATCGGAACTGCTGTCTACGAAATCACTCAACAAGAGTGATGGAAACTGCTCGCTTCTCATTCCTTTGTTACGGGGGAGCCCATTACTCAACACCTCAGGGAAAAGGCTGCTCACTTCAACAAGTCAGGGCTTCAAGCTAAAACCCCCATTCTAGCTAATTTGGTAGTAACACCTTCCCAATCTAATTAAGTTAAATTCTAAGTTTATTGTTCCCCTTACAGTCTAACATTTGCTCTCCATGGAAGGCATCTTTTCTCCAAGAGGCTATGCTGCTTTCTCTGAACACCAGCTCCCTGCTTTCTCCCTCTAATAAATACATCGCAGAGTTGTACGGCTTTGTTATCAAAGAGGAAAAACTCCCTGTGCCCGTGAAACCACAAAGCTGCCCATGTGGTCCACCAAGCCAGGGGGCTGAGCCTCTCAGCGGCTCATCCCAGACTCTGCCCCCTGTTGTAGCACAGACAGACATCACAGTCCAACCACCGATACTGGGAGCAAACACCAAGGCTTGAATGGATTCCAAGGATTTTGGACCAGATGATTTCTTCCAAGGTCATTTCTAACTGTAAAGTTCCATCACTCAGGAGGAGACACTAAAAAGTGGAAGAATAGAAGAACGTGGTGAGAAAGGGGGGTTGAAAGGAAGCTCTGTAGAATTTTAGACTGAACCTTTTCTCTGTCACCATCCTCCCCGCCAATTAGTTTGCTTTATCAAGTCTGTTCTCCCTATCCTCTAAACCCGGGCCCTGACGTGACCCTGGGACGTGAAGGAAATGAAAGTAAGGGGCTGGGCAATTCATTGGTAAGTACGCCTCAAGACAACCTCTGTAGCATCCAACCCCCAAATGAATGGGGCAAAGCCTTCACAGACTCCCAGCCAGTGGAGGGCAATGGTGTTGACACCAAAGAGCCACCTCCCCGAGTTCCAGAGAGCACCAGGGAGTGGACATCACAGAGGAGCAGGCCGGATGCTTTACACAGTCACTGGTGGGCACTGTGGAGAAACACTAATACCTACACCCCTTCCCAGTCCTACTGGTCCAGACTCTGGCATGGGCTTGGAAATTTAAAATTTTAATAAGCTTCCCACGGGGGAGCAAGGATTTGTAAACTAGCACATTCCTGTTGCCACCACAGTTAAGTCTCTCTCAGTGTTCATCTTTGTGTCCCCAGGAGTGTTGCCAAATAAAACGTAGGGCATCTAGTTAAATCTGAATGTCAGCTAAACAAGGATGCTTTCAGTACAAATACTGCATTTCATACTACACTTTTCTTCTGGAAAATGACTTCTTAAATCTGCAATCCAAATTTAATCTGGTGTCCTGTACTTTTATTTACTAATATGGGACCTCACAGCCTCACCTCCACTACAATGATGGATAAAATCAACGCGCACACAAACAATATACTAACTGTTATACCCACTTCTGAGTCACTAGTTCCAAGTTTAACATGTTAGAATACATGGCACGTTGATAACACAGCAAAACATAAAAGCAAGTCATGATGGTATCACTGGGACAGCCTCGGTTTTCCTAGCTGGGAAATGGAAAAGGTTGGACAGGATTTAAAACTCCGTTAAAACCACTGAATTATTAACAAACCTATACCACATCAAATTTAATCCTAAATGTCTGAAATGTTCATGCTTCCTGGAAGTTTTCTCACAAAAGAAAATGACCAACCAATGCACTTTTTCATCCCTTTCTACTTCTACAGAAGCAATTCCTGAAACCTATGGTTTCATCCACAGTGACAACTTGTACTGAGCACAGAGGTCTGAACGTTCAACACTCGCCCCCTAGATTCTGTCCATGGCCCACCCTCCCGGAAATGTCCAGGGCTGCAGAGAAACAGTGGTTTCACACAGATCCCACCGGAACTGGTGATCACATGAGGGGATCCCTAATGTACTGTCCAACTAAAGCTCAGGTTATTTTAGCAGAAGATGCAACATTACTCTGGGACGGAGCTGTGCTGTGATCTCACCCAGCCAGGAATGGAGGAAGAGCAGACATCCTATCTATGCTGCCCGGAGACAGTCTAGAAGTATTAGCATTAATTATAAGCAATGGGGTAGGATTTACGTCTCTCTGCATAGCTAAATGCGCTCCCATTCAAATGGCCTCCTGCAACCGCTC